CCCCGGGCAGCTGCTCGCCTTCCCGGTGCTCGACCTGCGCCGCCGCCGCCTCCCGCTCCGAGCCTACGTGGCCGGGCTGGAGGAGCTGGTGCTGCGGCTCTGCCGCCGCCTGGGGCTGGGCACCGCCCGCGCCCTCCCGCCGCCCTTCACCGGCGTCTGGATGGGCGACAGCAAACTCTGTGCCATCGGTGAGCGGGACAGCTCCGGGAGCGGGTCTGTGTGTGTGTGTGTGAGTGTGTGTGAGTGTGTGTGTTTGTGTGTGTGTGTCTGTGTGTGTGTGTGTGAGTGTGTGTGAGTGTGTGTGTTTGTGTGTGTGTGTCTGTGTGTGTGTGTGTGAGTGTGTGTGTTTGTGTGTGTGTGTCTGTGTCTGTGTCTGTGTGTGTGTGTGTGTGTGCGGCCGGGCTGGGAGAGCTGGGGGGCTCACTGGAGAAGGGAAGGGTCCAGGGACAGCTCAGAGCCCCTTTTGGGGCCTAAAAGAGCTCCAGGAGAGGGACTGGGGCCAAGGGCTGGAGGGACAGGACACAGGGAATGGGGTCACACTGCCCGATGGGATATTGGACAAGAATTGTTCTCTACAAGGTGGGCAGACCCTGGCACAGGGTGCCCAGAGAAGCTGTGGCTGCCCCTGGATCCCTTTGAGTGCCCAAGGCCAGGCCGGACATTGGGGCTGGGAGCACCTGGGACAGTGGGAACTGTCCCTGCCCATGGAACACCTCCCAGCCCAGCCCAGCCCAGCCCAGCCCATGCTGTGATCCGTGTGCCCCATGGAGTGGCACCTGCAGGGCACTCGGGATGTGCTGTGGGCACTGGGGACAGTGGGTGTCACAGGGSAGCATGCACGGGTGGGGTGTGTGTCCTGGAGGAGGGGACAGTGCCATTTTGGGTCCCTGCAGCCCACCCAGGGCCAGTACTTTGCCCCACTGCTCCTGTTACTCCCCTGCACCCGTGGCTGGGTGCCTGCAGCCCGGTCCCCAGCCTTGTCCCCATCCCCTGTCCCCCCTCCACATCCTGTACCTCTCCTTGGGACCCTGCAGCCTGGATTTGGGGTCCTGCAGCTCTCCCGTGTCCAAGCCCATGGAACCCCCTTGGTGGGAGGTGYTGGGGTGTGCAGGGACCTGGGCATGCTGTCCCCCATCTGCCCCAAATTTGCAGAGCCTGCCTGTGGGTTTTCCCTGGCAGGTTGAGGAGCACAGCACGGTGTGGGAGGATGTTTGCAGTGATGTGGGCAGTGTGGTCACTCAGTCTCTCACCAGGACACCCTGGTGACGCTGCTGATGGGTGGGTGCTCTTGGCCCCGCAGGTGTGCACTGTGGGAACCACATCACCTCGCACGGGCTGGCCCTGAACTGCTGCACCGACCTCAGCTGGTTCCAGCACATCGTGCCCTGTGGGCTGGAGGGGAAGGGGGTCACCTCCCTGAGCCGCGAGCTGGGCCAGCACGTCACCGTCAGCCACGTCCTGGAGCCCTTCCTCGACTCCTTCCAGGAGGTGTTTGGCTGCTCTTTGGTCTCCTCGGAAGATTCCGGACATTAGGATCGTGTTGGTGCCTTGGGCGGGGTTTTGGCAGAGCCACAGTCCAGAGTGGAGGGCAGGGCAGCCCGGGGATGCTCTGCTGTCAGATGGGAGCTCTGTGCCTTTGGGCTGTGAGTGAACAGTGGCACAGAGCTTCAGGCTGCTGCTGGAACACCCAAACTGCCCTGGGGCCGCTCTCTCCAGCCCTCAGCCCTCAGTGACACCTCCACGGTACCACATCCCCGTGGCACTTGCTGGGGAAACACCAAACAGGTGCTKTGGTGGGGTTTCTCTGCTTTTTGCCCCACAAAAATTATAAGTCTGGGTGAATGCTCAGAATGAGCCCTTTGGACAGGAGGAGGGGCGACTGGTGGGTGGAGCATCCTTCCCTCGCTGATGGGTAAAAGGATTTTATACATAAAGAGAATTGATAGGAACTTTGGCTGCTGATCTTTTTCTCATTTATTTACCCTCATTTATTTATCAATGACCACCTTTTTCTCACCCTGAGCTCAGGGCAGCCCTCATGGCAAAGCCTCTCTCCCTGGTGTTGGGGAGGGTGGAAATGGCTGTAATTCTGGGTAAAATGCCACTGATCGCTGCAGACACAGTGGAAAGCAGGAGGAGGAGGGAAAGGGGTCGGGGCTCACAAGGAGAGGAGGCACAGATGTCACAGATCCTGTGGGATCCCGGCTGGTGACGGGGACTGCTCCCACCCC